GCTGCCGCTGCCGCTCGGGAGGAAGCGAGGGCAGCTCCCGAGGCTCCCTCCGCAGCAGGCACCGCTCGCTCCAACTGCAGAAGGGTTTCAGATGTCCCACCGCTGCTTGACCCCCTGCAAATAAGGGTTGACGACCAGAGGCACATCCCACCTCTGACTTGTAATCGCTGACATTTAGGCTACAGCTTCCAACCTGTTTACAACCAAAGGGGGAGGGAAAGGAAGGGAAGGGGGGGGAGACAAGTTGGGATTTCCCACCCCCCCTACCCCCCCTTTCTTTCTCTCTCTCTCTCTCTGGACTTTTTTTTTTAATACTGTTCTGGAGAATTCAAAGCAAAACAAAGAAACTGCCTCCTCTGGGGTTGTCAGTGAGAAAGGACGAGTTGTGCAACTGGTTTGGGATTTGCAAAAAGGCAAGGGGGTGGGGATCAGAAGAAGGTGCAAAGCCACAAAGTGTGTGTGCGTGCGTGTGTGTGTAAAGGGGTATGTGTGAAAAATCCCTTCCAGCACCCCTTTCCGCTGGTTATTATTTATTTTTGTTGTTGTTGTTGTTGTTGTTCACTTTGCTGTCATCTATTTTTCAGACCTTTCTGCATCTAAGATGGTGAAGAAAGGAGTGAGGAAGAGAACAAAATAACTACTGGGAAGTCTCAAACCAGGTTGGGGAGTGTGTGTGTATGTGGGGGGGTGGGGTGGGGAAGAGGATTAACCACAGCAACCCCCCCAAAAAAAACTACAGCTCTTTTTTCTGAGGGAGGACTCGAAGGATTAAAAGGCAGCAACTTCTGAGGCGATTTGTCCCCTGAGTTATGGATGTTGGTGCACTTACTTCAGGCCAGATCAGAGCTCAGAGGGATCTAACCAGAAGCAGCAACCACCGGCTCTCCACTTGCCTTTTACCAGGTTTTACCCTTCCAGTATGTTTCATTTGATAAGACATTTTCCAGCGCCCAGAGTTTCAGTACAATGTGCAAATGGATACTGACAAATGGTGCCTCAGCCTTTTCCCACCTGCCTTGTTGCTGCTTGCTGCTGCTCTTCTTGGTGTCTTCTGTGCCTGTCACCTGCCATGACCTCGGCCAGGACATGCTGTCCCCGGAGGCCACCAACTCTTCTTCTTCATCATCCTCCTCCTTCCCCTCGTCCTTCTCCTCTCCTTCCAGTGCGGGGAGACACGTGCGGAGCTACAATCACCTCCAAGGAGACGTGCGCAAGAGGAAGCTCTACTCTTACAACAAGTACTTTCTCAAGATCGAGAAGAACGGCAAGGTCAGCGGCACCAAGAAGGAGAACTGCCCCTTCAGTAAGTACGGTTCTGC